AGTCATAAAATCCTACATAAAACTTGTAGATCACTGAATATGATATGTTTGATTCCTTGCAATAGTTTTGCGATATAAAGATGGTGATATTAGAGTCGTGCTAGTGGGTAGTTGTGGATTAGTAGAAATACTTGTGTTGAGGTTGGTGATTCCCGTAGCATGCATGTATGGTGAACCGTTATGTAACGAAGTCGGAGCATGGGGTATTTATTGATTGTCTTCCTTATGAGTGGCGATCAGGGACGAGAGATGGTCTTTTCCTACCAATCTATCCCCCTAGGAGCATGTGTGTAGTACTTTGTTTCGATGACTAATAAATTTTTGCAATAAGTATGTGAGTTCTTTATGACTAATGTTGAGTCCATGGATTATACGCACTCTCATCCTTCCACCATTGCTAGCCTCTCTAGTACCGCGCAACTTTCGCCGGTACCATAAACCCACCATATACCTTCCTCAAAACAGCCACCATACCTACCTATCATGGCATTTTCATAGCCATTCCGCGATATATTGCCATGCAACTTCCATCATCATCATATACATGACTTGAGCATCATTGTCATGTTGCTTTGCATGATCGTAAGATAGCTAGCATGATATTTTCATGGCTTGTCTGTTTTTTGATGTCATTGCTACACTAGATCATTGCACATCCCGGTACACCGCCAGAGGCATTCGTATAGAGTCATATCTTTATTCTAGTATCGAGTTGTAAGTAAATAAAAGTGTGATGATCATCATTATTAGAGCATTGTCCCAGTGAGGAAAGGATGATGGAGACTATGATTCCCCCACAAGTCGGGATGAGACTCCGGACGAAAAAATAAAATAAAAAAAATAAAAAAGAGAGAAAGGCCATAAAAAGGCCCAAAAATAATGAGGGAAGAAGAGAAAAGGGACAATGCTACTATCCTTTTTCCACACTTGTGCTTCAAAGTAGCACCATGTTCTTCATATAGAGAGTCTCTTGAGTTATCACTTTCATATACTAGTGGGAATTTTCATTATAGAACTTGGCTTGTATATTCTGATGATGGGCTTCCTCAAATGCCCGAGGTCTTCATGAGCAAGCAAGTTGGATGCACACCCACTTAGTTTTCAGTCTGAACTTTCATACACTTATAGCTCTTAGTGCATCCGTTGCATGGCAATCCCTACTCACTCACATTGATATCTATTGATGGGCATCTCCATAGCCCGTTGATACGCCTAGTTAATGTGAGACTATCTTCTCCTTTTTGTCTTCTCCACAACCACCATTCTATTCCACCTATAGTGCTATGTCCATTGGTCACACTCATGTATTGCGTGAAAGTTGAAAAGGTTTGAGAACGTCAAAAGTATGAAAGAATTGCTTGGCTTGTCATCGGGGTTGGCATGATGTGAATATTTTGTGTGGTGAAGATGGAGCATAGCCAGACTATATGATTTTGTAGGGATAACTTTCTTTGGCCATCTTATTTTGAAAAGACATGATTGCTTTATTAGTAGGCTCGAAGTATTATTGTTTTTATGTCAAATGATACACTATTGCTTTGAATCACTCGTATCTTAATATTCATGCCATGATTAGATATGTGATCAAGATTATGCTAGGAAGCATTCCACATCAAAAATTATCTTTTTTATCATTTACCTACTCGAGGACGAGTAGAAATTAAGCTTGGGGATGCTGATACGTCTCCGTCGTATCTATAATTTTTGAATGTTCCATGCCAAAACTTTCATATGCTTTTGGCAACTTTTTATACTATTTTTGGGGACTAACATATTGATCCAGTGCCCAGTGCCAGTTCATGTTTGTTGCATGTTTTTCGTTTCGCAGTAAATCCATATCAAACGGAGTCCAAACGGGATAAAAACCGACGGAGATTTTTTTTGGAATATATGTGATTTTTGGGAAGAAAAATCAACGTGAGACGATGCCCGAGGGGGCCATGAGGCAGGGGGCGCCCCAGGGGGTCAGGCGTGCCCTGGGCCCTCATGGCCACCCCGTAAGGCAGTTGGTGCCCTTCTTTCCCCGCAAGAAAGCTAATATCCGGATAGAGATCGTGTAAAATTTCAGCCCAATCGGAGTTACGGATCTCCGGGAATATAAGAAACGGTGAAATGGTAGAATCTGAGAACGCGAAAATAGAGAGAGACAGAGACACAGATCCAATCTCGGAGGGGCTCTCGCCCCTCCCACGCCATGGAGACCAAGGACCAGAGGGGAAACCCTTCTCCCATCTAGGGAGGAGGTCAAGGAAGAAGAAGAAGGAGGGGGGCTCTCTCCCCCTCGCTTCCGGTGGCACCGAAGTGCCGCCGGGGGCCATCATCATCGCCGCAATCTTCACCAACAACTTCACCACCATCATCACCAACTCTTCCCCCCTCTATGCAGCAGTGTAACCCCTCTTTTACCTGCTGTAATCTCTACTTAAAAATGGTGCTCAACGCTATATATTATTTCCCAATGATGTATGGCTATCCTATGATGCTTGAATAGATCCGTTTTGTCCTATGGGTTATTTGATGATCGTGAATGGTTTGAGTTGCATGTTTTATTATTGGTGCTGTCCTATGGTGCTCTCTGTGTCGCGCAAGCGTGAGGGATTCCCGTTGTAGGGTTTGCAATATGTTCATGATTTGCTTATGGTGGGTGGCGTGAGTGACAGAAGCACAGACCCGAGTAAGTAGGTTGTTTGCGTATGGGATAAAGAGGACTTGATACTTTAATGCTATGGTTGGGTTTTACCTTAATGATCTTTAGTAGTTGCGGATGCTTGCTAGAGTTCCAATCGTAAGTGCATATGATCCAAGTAGAGAAAGTATGTTAGCTTATGCCTCTCCCTCAAATAAAATTGCAATAATGATTACCGGTTTAGTTATCAATTGTCTAGGGACAAATAATTTTCTCATAACAAAAAGTTCTTTACTAAAACTAACTTAGTTGTGTCTTTATCTAAACAGCCCCTAATTTGTATTTACGTAATCTTTATTATCTTGCAAACCTATCCAACAACACCTACAAAGTATTTCTAGTTTCATACTTGTTCTAGGTAAAGCCAACATCAAGCATGCATAGAGTTGTATCGGTGGTCGATAGAACTTGAGGGAATATTTGTTCTGCCTTTAGCTCATCGTTGGCTTCGACACTCTTACTTATCGAAAACTGTTGCGATCCCTTATACTTGTGGGTTATCAGTCACACAGGGCCCTGTCTGGTCCTTTGTGCTTCTCACGATCCTGTGGAAGATATGGGAGGCGAGGACTGATAAACTGTTCAGATCGCTTGATAGACGTTCTATCTCTACATATAAACTAATCCTTTCAGACCTTGACCTTTGGTCTCACCGGCTTGTCAAAACCGGTGACAAGGAGGCCGTCTCCTCGTGGCGGTCTTTCCTCTGTGCACGATGTTTTATGCCTATGTAACTCTGTAACACAGCTTGTTGTGACTCTTTTGAGTAATATATTCAGGGTGGGGGAAGTCCCCCCCCCCCCTCGGTGATTCTCAAAAAAACATTATTTTCTGTTGTCCTTAGGCACGCAAGGTTTGGGTAGAGCTTGGGCTAAATCTGCTATAGATGAGGCAGTAGCATAAGAAATGCTAGATTAACATTTCTTTTTGGTTGACCTCGGGCATGCAAAACCGGGTTGATAACATTTTTTCTATACACATTAGTATTTTACAAATGCTGGATTAACATTTTTTTCAACAATTTTATGTATAGTGTATTTTGTAATCTACATATTTGGAAGCGTATACAAAAGTAAAACAAGAAAATAAAAAGCGAAAAAACCAGAAAAAACAAGGCTGTGGCCTCCCGCCAGCTGGGCCGGCCCAGTCCCTCGCTCCTGCCCTACATCTTCCGGACATAGGCGCGCCCGTATGTCCTGCTCAAAAAAAGAGGCGCGCCCGCAAGTAGTGAAAGTAACAGGATGGTACTCCCACTCTCCCCCAAAAAACGGTGTGGTAGGTGTGAGGAGGAAAAAAATTCTATGAGACCAGGTCTCACGTGAGTCCTATCCTGATGGATGACACGTGACATTCATAAATCACAAAGCATCCCCCACCCCCCATTTAAAATCAGGGGGAGAGAGATTAGATGCTTTGTGATTTGTGAATGCCACGTGTCATCCATCAGAACGGGTCTCACCTGCTAACCGTGAGACCTGGTCTCATATAATTTGTTTCCGTGTGGGGAGGGTAACAATAGGTCGCCATCCTTAAAAAGAAAGTATAGGTCGCCATCCAAACCAATATATATATAGTCACCATCTTGACTCTTGAGAGATTAGGACTACAGCCATTCACATAATGGTTAGGTGATGGTCGCGTGGATGCTTATCTAGAAAGAATTGAGAATTCCGTACATGACATTTCTTCCCTCAACACTCGACTCCCATTGCTATATGATTATGAGAGCAAGCTCGAATCAAGAAGGCTCAGCAAGATTGGGTTTTGCGGTCAGAAGATCTTCAAGAGAGTATTTGACAAAAAAATTACCACCTTAGGAGTTGCCGTTCCACAGAACTATCACATTCAAAAAAGTGACTGATAACTACTAAAATTTTCTAATTTTATGACTAAAAACTACCACTTCTGAAAAATGGCCAGTTTAGACAATTTAAACATGTTTATGACATGCGGGACCCACCTAGCAGGGCTGACGTGGCGGCAAAGTCAACTCCGTTTATTTTGACCATTAAGCTGACCATTATGATAGGTGGGGCCCACACGTTAGTTTTTTAGAAAAAGCAATTGGGTCCCTGCCGACGAGGGTGTGCCAGCTCCTACGTGCAGAGCGGCCAAGCTCCAAGTGTCGCATAGCCACGTTCTAGAGGTGCTGCACGTGACGCGGCAGGGCAGGAGGGTTGCCGCAACCACGGCGGGCGACGCCATGCCCATCCAGCTCCTTCCCGCTACTGCTTGCCACTGCTGGTCCTTCCCTGCTGGTGGCCGCTGCTGCTCCTTCCTGCTGCTTGCCACCGCCGCCGCTGCTCCTTTCCCGATGCTGCTGCTTGCGGCTGCTGCTCCTTGCCGGGTCTGCTGCTCTTTGCCATTGTTGCTTGCCGCTGCTCCTTGCGACGGCTGCTCTGCTCCGGGATGTTGGGCGTCACGGTGGGCAGTGACGACGCGTCGATGGCGGTTTGGGTCCTGGAGGAGGGAGAAAGGTGCAACCTCCGGTTCGTCATCGAGGCACAGGGAGTACGGCAGCTTGCCATACCACACTTCGCGCACGGCGCCGGCAGCCAAGGTACCGAGGTCCAGGCAGCAGCAGCAGCACGACGAAATTCTCGCCGGCGTCGCTCATATTGCCATGGTCGACCAACTGCACATCAGAGCTGACCTGGGCAAGCGCAGGAGTGGGGGAAGGGGAAGACTGAGTCTGGGCGTGGCGGTGAAAGGCATGGCCGTGGTGGCTCGATGTAGGCTTGGCGGCGGCGACGCTTGTGAGAGTGGCATGGCCATGGTGGCTCGGGATAGAGAGTTCAGGGAAGAGAGATAGAGAGAGGAAGAAGAATGACATGTGGGCCCCACCTGTCATAACGGTCGGCTCAACGGTCAAAATAAACGGAGTTGACTTTGCCACCACGTCAGCCCTGACAAGTGGGTCCCGCATGTCATAAACGTGTTTAAATTGTCTAAACTGACCATTTTTCAAAAATTGTCACAAAATTAGAAATTTCTTATAGTTATCAGTCATTTTTTTGAATATGGTAGTCCTGTAGGATGGCAATCCTAATGTGGTAGTTTTTTGTCAAATACTCTCTTGAAGACCATGACCACAGAGAAACCAAATAAGTTCATATCTACTTGCATACCATCATCCTAAGCATGGAGAAACGTTTGCGCAGTAGTATATCATATCGTTACCTCTACGAGACCTTCGGCGTCGGCCACCGTGAGGCGCCACTCCCCGTGGCCGGAGCTGAACGCCTCGCCGCCACCTCCTCCTCTTCCACGCCTACATACTCCATGCCGGTGACGCGGTGGCCGAGCCTGATGCAGTCCAGCACCCCGAAGCGGCGCGCGTAGGCGCGGAGGTAGTCGGCCACCTGGCGCTGGTTGGGGAACATCTCCGTCACGGAGTCCGGCGAAAGGAAGTCGGAGTACCGTTACATGTGTCGCGGCGCCTAGAGCCTGGTCCCCTCCATGGCATTGGGCCACACGCCGCCCACGGTGGCGCCCGCGTCGAAGACCACCGGCCGGCACCCGCGCTCCAGCAGGTGCTTGCATGCCGCGAGCCCGCTCACGCCGGCGCCGATGATGGCCACGCTCTTCTTCTCCAGGCCCATCAGTCGATTTGTATGTGTATGTGCGCCGTTGACTAAGCGGGGTGGACGGTGTTTATGTAGGTGGTGACAGAGAGAAAGCGAAGGACACCTCACCCGCAAAAAAAAACGAAAAAGGCGGGGGATACCTCACAAAACTCTAGTGAAAGTGATGCATGCAGTCCTGGCCGCCCGGTGTTCAATTACCAGAGCCAGCAAGTAATTACAGCGTGTTTGGCAATATTAAGGGAATAGGAAGGGAGTTTAGAGTAGGGAGTTGGGTCGAAATTATACATGGATAAGTCGTTTTATTCTCAATCCTCTGTTTGGTGCGTGATAGGAGTTATGTGTGAATTGAAATTATACTTCCTTGTTTGGTTCGTGGGAATTGACATGAGACTAGACAAGGGAAGTTAGGATAAACGGTTAATATTGACTCAATTAAACAATTCTCTTTCAACTCCCACCCCCTCCCCTGTTAATCAAACAGTGGGAGTTGCAGTCTCAAATCCCATGCCTCTTCTCTTGTGAATTCCCAATTCCTCCAATCAATCAATAGATTTGAAATCTCATACCCCTTCAATTCCCATTCCCGGACTCTAATTACCCCAACCGAAGGTTTGCTCCGTCGAATAGCAAAGAGAAGAAGACTATTGTTTTTGCCAGAAAAACTTCTAATCTATTTATCAACTATGAAGCTAGTACAAAGACGAAAATCCATCTCTGAACCCGAGCTCATCTGCACCCGCGTTGATGAAAAAAATCAAAACAAATACTAAAAAATTCAAAAAAATCAAAAAAAAATGTGCAGTAGAAAATTTAATGCATGAGGTCCGCTCCAATTTTCAAATCATTTGGACATCTGGGGAGCTCTCAGCAAAAAAGACAAATTTGGGGTCTGTAAAAATGTTTACTGTTCATGTATTGTTTTGGCTTGATTTGTCTTTTTTGCTGAGAGCTTCTCAGGTGTCCAAATGACATGAAATTTGGAGCGGACCTCACGCATCAAATTGTCTACCATACAAAAAATTAGAATTTTTTTAAGTCTTTTTCTATATTTTTACAAAAAAAATTCTAACCGGGTGCAAATGAGTCTGGGCACCGAAACACCCCTAGAAACAAAATTTACATCCAGGTCTGTAGAACACCTAACGACGACTATAAGCACTGCAGCAAGCCGAAGGCACGCCGCCATCATCGCCCCTCCCTCGCCAAATTCGAGCAAACATTGTTGTAGTAGACAGTCAGGAAGGCGTCGTGCTAAGGCCCCACAGGACTAGCGCACCAGAACAGCAGTCACCGCCGATGAAGAGAAATGTAAATTGAAAAGATCCAACCTGCAGACACGCAGATGTAGACGAATGAAGATCGGATCCACCAAAGACAAATGTCAATCGGATCCCACGAGATCCGTTAGAGATAAACCTCTACACGCCTTCCGACGAGGCTTGAAACATCGCCGGAACGGGGGCTAAACAGGAAGGACCTTATTCCATCTTCAAGAAGCCGCCGCCTTGACACAAACCCTAACAAAATTCAGAAAAGCGCCTAAAAACGGATCCCTCCCTCCTGCCTCTCGCTGGCGCCACCGCCAGTCCGCCTCGAACTCATCCAGGGTTCCCTGCCTCTCACTAACGCCGCTGCCAGTCCATCGTCTCAACGGACTGGCGGCGGCGTTAGCGAGAGGCAGGGAACCCTAGATGAGTTCACACAAGGGCACGAGGACAGGTTTCTATTTTGTCCTCCTTTGGTTTCCTATTGATTTTTTTAAGAGAAGGAAACTATTGGATAAGCCAAGCGTGGTAGCACCATAGCAATACGAGAATTCATATGCGTAGACCACCTAGCGACGACTACAACACTGTAGCGAGCTGAAGGCGCGCCACCGTCATCATTCCTACCTCACTCTAGCCAGGACAAACTTCATGGCTATAGATTGGAAGTTTTCTCGATAGGAAATATATGAGAATTTTGACAACAAAAAAATATAAGTTAGCGAAAAAAATGAAGTAGGGTTAGTCGTTTTTTGAGCCGTTGATTTGTGCTTCAAGATTCGTGATCCTTCTTCTTTTCTCTGTTGCGTGCGTGCGGGTGGCAAAAGTAAAGCCATGCCTGACATTACTTGAAAACCAAACATATTCATGAACATCCTTTTGGAATGTGTGAATTTAACTTTTAAATGTCATGTGCATTCTTCTGAAAATTTCTTCTACTTACACAAACATTTCTATATTATATAACGTGTTTTTAAATGTCACATATATTTTCTGAACATTTTATAAATATTATGAATATTCTTTTGAATAATATCAACATTTAAAAGGAAATACTTTTTAAAAAAGTCACGTACATTATTCTGAAGGGTAGGAAACATTTGTTTTACGTAGGCAAACATTTTTTTATGTTGTATAACATAACTTTACACTAGCTAAGATTTTTCAAATTCGCTGTGAACAGTTTTAGGTTTTTTGAAGTAATTAAAGGTTTTGAAATATATATATATATATTTAAACATCTTCGAAAATATCAGAAAAGAAAAATAAAAAGAAAAAGAAAAAGAAAAAACGAACGAATGAAGAAGCTGAGAAAAACTACATGAGCCGGTCCCATATGTAGAGACTGCATGGCGCCTAGGATGCGTCGGTCCAGCGCGGGGGGAGCGCTGGTTCGTTACCGCGTGTTCTTTTTCTTACCCTAAAAAAGGATCTTTTTTATTACTTTTATATATATATATGAAATGAAAAAAAAATCTAGAAAACGTCTATGATTTTCTGAAAAAGGTTCATGCAGTGTAAAAAAATCGCAGAACTTTTAAAATGTCGATAGCCTTTAACAAAAATCATGATATTTACAAAATGCTCACGTGTTTCCAAAATATGTTCCTGACAATTTCTAAAATCTATACCTACTAATAAAGAAAATAGGTATTCTTGGTCGTCATAATTGTTTGCTGAAAAATTCTGATTTTTTAATAATCGACCCGTAGTCCAGTATTAAGTCAAATTTTTAATTTTCTCCCGTTGCATCGCAAGAGTTCTTTGCTATGTTAATATAATGTAAGAAGAAGCTCATAATTTATTCAATATATTAATTTCTATAAAATAATGATTATGACATTTAAAATATATATATTCATGTGTTTCAAAAATATATTTTTAAACGCTTCATACCATTAAACAAGTATTCATTCCATTTTAACAAATGTTCACACATTACCAATATATTCATGAGATTTTTGAAAAATGTTAATACAATGTAAAGAAATGTTTGAATAATTTCTAAAAATGTTGCATACCATTCAAAAATGCTCAATCATGTGTTTGGATTTTTTAACATGTATTCAGAAAAATGAATAAATATGTATTCAAAAAAATGAATAATTTTTAAAAACTGATCTTCATCCATTCTAAAAAAATTCAAGGTGTATCAAAAAAATTTGCGGGTATATTGAAATTATATAACCTGTATTATAATAAAGTATACGTGTACTTGAAATAAATGTGAAACAGATGAAAGCCGACGAAACCCAATAAAGAAACACCGAAAATTGAAAATTGAAAAAACAGAAAGACGATAAAGAAACTATAAAAATAGAAGAAAAAATGAAAACACATGGAAGGTTCTACAGACCGGTTTTGTCCAAAACCGTATAATGGGTCAGCCTACTAAGTGGAGAGCACACTCATCGCAAAGAGGCGAGGCCAGACTATATATCGCGGTAAGCGAGATATAGGGGTCCTCCCCTCACGACAACATGGCGAGCAAAAACTCTTCATCATCTAGGGTTAAAGGAAACAGCGAGGTAAAACAGAACGTCACGGAGTGGAGAGCATCAAAGTAGGAGGACGGATCTAGTTTGAACGGAGGAGCAGGCGATCAGAACTAGGGGCTTCACAAAATCGGAGTACCCTACTGGGTCAGCCCACTTAGATCCTTTGTAGGTGATCGCTATGTAAACACAGACCATATACTACTAGGCAGATCATATTTTACGCCCGCGGGCTTCAAATGAAGGCCACGACACCCATGTGTGATGCAAGTTGGGCCAAACCACTTCGGATTTCATGTGCGGGTACTTTTTCATTGCTCGCTTCCTTGTGCGGTTAGCTCACTTCTATTTCGTACACTGGCTGCTGCATTTTTTTCCTTGTTCAACTCTTTTCCTTTCGTTTACTGTTTGGGTTTTTTCTTCCTGGTTTTTATTTAGTGTTTCCTTTTTATTTTTTGTGATATG